GTAGTAGTAGTAGTAGTAGTAGCAGTCCAATCGAAGACAAGAATCAAAATCACAGTTTCAAGTGGTTGAGGAGCTGTTTTTTCTTTGAAAAGCAAAAACAAGGCTGCGAAAAAAGCCTTTCAATGAACAAAAACAACAACCCCACGACCACCCGAGCATCACGACCCTACGGCTACTGGCATTCAAGACCCACGAGTGCGCACCATGTGCCTGAAAGATTCGACTCATCCAATCAGTGTGAGCTCAGTAGAGACTCCCAGGAGCAGCAAAAAAAGCAGGCAGACCGCAACAAACACGAGCGTCACGTTGGAACAATTGTGGCCCAGACGCGAGAACGGTGTTTCTCGAGGTCGTCGGAGGGGTTCCTTACCAGATCAAGGTTGCGACCTCGGCGGCGCTGCTGAAGGTCTTGTCATGTCTTGTCCAATTCTTTTCTTCCCCTCCTTGCAACTTCACGTGTGTTTCTGGTGATTTCCATGGCTTCAATCACTCAGGGAAGTGGATGATTCATCAATTGTGCTCACAACTGGACTGTGTGGCACAATCAAATCAAGGAGTGCCAAGCTTATATACCAGGGATTGCCGATTACCGCAAGAACGACTAATCAGCGCTGGTCTGAAGTGCTTGGCAGTACTTGGGCAGAAAACGCCGAGCAAGAGAAATGAAAAATGGCGATCTGAACAACAATACAGGCCCTGCGACATAAAGTCAGCTATGTGGAGAATCTATCAAAGAGTCCTGGTATCGATGCCGGCAGCGGGAAAATGTCTGCGCATCAAGTGTGAGACAGACCGATGAACGGGAAATGTATCAATTTCTCCAGTAGTTACAGTATAGTTACGAAGTCACCAAGCAGTTACAGTTCCACCTGCTCGGCCGGAGTGCTCTCAACAGTGGACACTTCCAGAAGAGGGCCAGTGAGATGTCAAAAAGGTAGAATCGGAAAATGACCTCCTCTTCAGCTGCCGTTCCAGGCCGTTCCGCACCAAGCTGCTCGTGGCCACAACATGGAAGCGCCGCGCGGTGGGATGACGCGCGCGGGATGAAAGTCACGGGGCACCCGTCGGAAGCCGGGAACCCGCGTGGGAGCTGGAACCGAAAGGGCGGGGGAACCGCAGAAAGCCTGCGTGTGGTTCAGGTGAGAAGTCCTGGCAGCCTCAGGTGCCAGCGAGCTGTAGGCGAATCAATGGCAACCATCTCCCAAAACCAGCTTCTGGGGTGAAATGTCAGGATCTTCAGGGTTCTTTAGGTGAACAATTGTGCAGTACATGCACCTGATTGTATCTGAGGATCGTAATCTAAGAGAAGCGCAGATGGGGGCTGTCGTGAAAGACATATCTGAGCCCGAACAATCAACCCTCTGTCCGAGCATGCCCAGGTCAAAATAAAGAACTTGCGCTTGAGGAAGACTTTGTTCACCAGAATGGACCATGGATGTGGATGGCGTCCCTTGGAAATGGTCCCTGTCCCAGTCCTCTTCCGAAGTAGGGAGGCGCTTGTCCACTTCGAGGGTCAGTGGCCGCCAGTCAGCCGGCTCCCAAACCACTAACCTCTGCCAAAGCCAAAACGCAGGTGAAAATCCGTGAAAGGGCTCGTCATTCATGCAGAATTAAAGACTTCTAAATCATCCTGTCTACCGCTCCCACCACCTCACCTCACGACACAGGTAAAACCGCGCAAGAACAAGAATCCAAGAACACGCCCCCACGCAAACCCGCGCCCGCCGTAAGTCTCTACGCAAACCTGCACGCGTCTCGACGAAAACGATCGCCGGGCTCGTCTCCCTTCTTTTTGTCAGCTCAGGGGAAGCCTCGGGATTCGAGGCTTGCCGTCGCCCACCTGGAATCCGAAGCGTCGGTCTGAGGTGGTGTCCACCGGTGGGCTCCACACGGCAGGAGCCAAGGAGGTTTGGAAGCCCCCAATGCGGTGGGAGTGGGAGTAGAACTCTTTTTCTGGCCTTCCAGAAGTTTCCGGAGTTTTTAAGAGTGCAGCTCGGTGCTTGGGTTCTGGTTATCCCACAAAAAGGATCTTTTAGATGCTAAAAAAGCCTCACGTTCTGTTCAAATCTGCAATAATTGCCACAATAGTCGCCACCTCTGGTTGCAAGACTTGGTGTATTATACAGTGCTTTGTTGCTGTGACCTGTAATTCTGTGTAGTTCTCCTCGGTGGTGATGCTCTCATTTACTCCCAAATAAGTCCATCTCCTCGAGGGCTGTACCCACCATCTCCTTCACCATTCCCCAACCAGGTCATGACCGCCACCTACACGTGCATCTCGGAGAAACGCCAGCAACATGCCCCCCCCCAAAACGCCACCTCCCAAACGGCCCAAAACGGTCGAAAACGCGGGGCGCAACAGACAGCGGTTTCCCTAGGCTTCCAACCACCATTTAGTTTAATAGGCTTTACCGAATCAACCAAGGATTTTACACTAACTACAAAAACAAGGTCAACCATTTTTTAACGGTCTTGGAAGTCTAGGGGTTTGTCCCGTGGCCTCCTCTTCAGTACGGTGCAACATCATGAAGTCCACCACCTCGCCCAGCGCGCAGTAGACCTCGATCGACATCGACCCTCGTCTGACCAAACATTGCCCATCCGGCTCGACCGAAGTCGAGTTTTCGAGAACTCGGTCGGGTGAGCTCCAAACATGTCAGCCCAAAACTCTCCAAATTGATGAACCCGAACCACTTCCTCTCCTGAAGTCCCCCCGATCGTCCCCCGCAACCACTTACTCACCCCCCGCAATTCAGGTCGACGCAACCGGCGCCCGGGCCGTGTTCGCCGGGCTCCAGCGATCACCGGAGAAGATCTGGTCCATGGGCACCTGGTGCGACCCACCGGAAGAAGCGGAGACTCACTCCGTGCGTTGGATGTCAGCGGAGACTCCGTGCGTTGGTAACGGGGGGTCTGGAGACTGGTGAAACGGTGAGTCTGGAGCTGGTTCTTGAAACTGAGAAACCATCTGAAGAGGTCAGAGCGAGCTTCGTTTTCACATGAATTCACCATCCTTGGGAAAGTACGGTGACAGCTGTGATCATCCACCAGCTAGCTTTTGGCCACTGATCCATGAAGACTGCTTGCTCAGCTGCCTCCTGGCCATCCAGCAAGAGGCTTCCCTCCAGCCGCACGGGTTTCAAAGGGTACTCCGCCTGGGCCGGTTCCATGGTCTGTGGTGTTTCATGGAGAGTTTGCCCGGTGCCATCAAGTCCTGTTCAGGAAGTGAACTAAGAAATAGTGCTAAAAGATGCTAAAAGTGACTCCATGAGTTGCAGGGTTGGGACGATCTCTACACTGGACCAGTGGGGAAAAGAAGGCATCTGTTCGTGGCTGACTCCACAAATCAATCCAACACATCCTGCCAGCCTCCGCTAAACGCTTTTGTCTTCCCGCACCACGACACGCTCTCCCATGTCATGTGGTGCTGGGCAACAGCTCCAGGACTGCTCCAGGACTCAGGGGGAGCAGAGATGTTGTGGAAGGTCAGAAGATCCCATCCACCAGGAGTCACAAAGGGGTGCCGAACTTGGAGGAAGTCGGGGTGCCCCTGTCACATCCACTCACTGGATGGGACGAACCACACCACCCCGAGCTCTGTGACCCCTGGCAGAAAAGTTCCCAAAAGAGAAGGTGGTCTTCTCGGGTGAACACCTCCAACCCCGGATCACGTTCACACCCCCCAACACACGAAGACGAACACCCCAACACACCCGGGTCGGGACGGCAGGATGGCGGAATCGGGCCGCGCGACGGGCGAACTCGTTGGGGGTAGGTCTAGCTGTCGACCTGTCCGTCCTGGACTCTCCTGCCAAGGGACGGGAAAGGTCACCACGAACTCCACCATCTCACCCTGGCGAGAGGGGTCCACGAGGCCCAGGGGAGGCCAAGGCTGGCGGTTGCTTTCGGAGATGGCGGCAAGAAAAACGTGGTGACACCACAAGCAGCCATGGAGGGCTAAGTAAGCAGCCATGGTATCTGTAGATGTTTTCTATGTTGTTCAGGGTGTGAGTGCTGGCTGAAAGTCTTCGCATCTGGGTCCACCGTTCACTGGGAGAACCAAAACCGACCAGTTTGCCAGTTCTTCCACTGGCTCTTTGGGCCTCTGGCTCTTTGGGCCTGGGTCTCACAGATCTCCCCAGAAGCTTCGGGAGCAAACGCTCCCGCGTTTCCGGTCGTCCACCCGTCCGGCCGCGAACGCGGAGACGCGGTCAACCGTCCAGGTCCCATGACCCACAGCGGATTGATCTTTCAACCGATCGATTGTGCAAAGACCGATCTTTCAGAAGATCGGCTGTGCATTTCGACCTGCAGTCTGCCAAAGACCTATCTTCCATGCATCTATATCAGCTCCAGTGGTTCCAGAGGTTCGATGGCAGATGTCTTGAAAAGATGGGGGGGGTCCTTTCTGAACCACCGACATTGGACCATTTGTGCCATGTGCCATTGAACCTCTGAAACCACAGTAAGTGATGACACCCAATTCACCGGCAGCATGCGGATCAGCACACCCAGCACCAGCTCTTGGCTTAGTGCACTAGAAGTGGAGCACCGGCCACACCCAGCAGCCAGCCGCACCAGCTGCGCGCGCCGCGCCAGCCGATTTGCGCTCCGGAGACGTCCGCGGATGGCGCTGGCTCCACGGCTGTGCCGCATTTGGGGGGCACACGGAGCCCGAACAACCTCAAAGAAGCTCCGAACTGGGAGCTACCCGGGGGTGAAGGACTGGGCAAAGTGACATCGAAGAAGAAGAAGAAGAAGAGGAAGAGGAAGAGGAAGAAACAATAAAGAAACGTGGATGTGATGACCCCCTTGCCCAAGGGAGGCGTTTCTCCATTCTCCACCATCTATGCAACAATCATCGTGGCGACGCGGAGTGAGTGAGTTCACCCCCTGTTTGGTCTTCGGAAAACTCATGGTCATCTCTCTTCCGGGGCGGAAAACCCACTTCCACCATGACACTTGCCAAGCACCGCCTTCATAGGCGGCGGGAAGTTCCGGCTCCGCTCGGTCGGTTCCCTGTGCCACCGGCGACGCTCCGTGCAACCGGTGTCCAAGCAAGACGACAAGCCTCCCTGCATCACAACATCGCCCAGGAACTGTAGTACTCTGTCAATGGACGCTTGCTGCTGCGTACCACATGGTTGAGGCAGCATTGGCCTTGCCACGGGCATCAGGCGTGATGTGTGGATCATGGTGCTGCGGAATGCGGCAAGCCGACCCCCTCAAGTGGATGCGGCCAGCCCCCAGAGCTCCTTTTGAGACATTTGACTGGGACTAGGCTGCATGAAGAAAACCGAACCGGGCTGACCTTTGACATGTTTTTTGCCACGTCTTAGACGCGTGGGTGTTCGTTCAAAAAACCGTCCCAACATCCCAAACCGTGCAATGAACATCTTTGGAATGTTTGTATTAAGTTATATAACTTGTTGCCACCGTTGTCCACCACATCCCCCACATCTCACCCCCACATCAACTCGATTCTGCTCATCCCCCCCGAATCCCCCTTCCTCGCGCCACTCATCCACCGACCCGCCGAACGAACCGAATCGAACTCGCCGGAGCCGCAGGGGGTGCTTCGCTTGGCAGAGCAGGCCGGAGAGCTGGGGGAAGACCTCAGCGATGGGCGGAAGTCAAGGTGCGGTCTGCCAAGAAGGGAATATGTATAAGCTTCGACATCACCATCTTAACCCAGAACGTCCAATTAACTTATATATTTTACCCAGCGGGGGGAGTCCTACTCCACCACGTCTATGGGGGTATAATCAGTCAAACTTGGACTCCGGAGAATAGAACGAGAACTCGCTGTATGCATTACTCACCTGGTGGGTCAGCAACCACCATGAACAGATTCATGTAGACGTTTGATTCTATTTCAACTCCCCAAGCTTGAAGAGGTTTTACAAGCCAAATGGAAAGGGTTGTGCTTTATTAATCAAGAGTCACCGAACCCCCTTGTGCTTTAGAGGTATCACTGGGTTTTGTGCCCCAGAACCCCTCGGTCCGCCCGCTTCCGTGACCAGGCACTTCCACCTTGGCTCCTGAAACGAGCTCGGGCGCGTCTGTCCAGGCGGATAATTCAGAGAACAACC